TCTTGAAAATTGTTATTATATTCAAAGTAATTAGGATATAATGATATTTCATTTTTTTGTTTAAATAAGCTAAATTCCTTTTTTATATCTATTTTCCATATATATTCATACTTTTTTAAGCTTTCTAAATATTCAAAACTTTTTTCAATTGTATTTTCAAAAAAGTTTTCTATTTTATTCTTGTTAGAATTTACACTTAAACTTAATAGAATTTCATTTATATAATCTCCACTTTTAATATCTATTCTTTTGATACCTGAAGTTAAATTCATAAAGTCATCAATCCATTTATAAAACATAGTTGTTACACAAAAAGATTTTTTACTTCTTAACTTTAAATCTAAATTTAATTTATTTTCTATAAAATTTATTTTTATGGTGAATAATTGTTCATCCTTTTTATTTAATTTCATTACTTCATATAAGTTGTTAAATAAAAAATTTGTAAGTTCTATTAATTTATCTATAATTATATTATTTAAAAACTTTAAGTAATTTTTCCACATAGTATTATTTTTTTTTATTTTTAATATATCGTATGACTGCTTAATATTTATGTTAATATTTTTAAAATCATCATTCAATTTTCCTTTTAATAATGACAAATTATTTTTATAATTATTTAAATAATTATATATATCTTCATGCTTTTTTCTTTTTTCAATAATTGGCCTTTTTAACCAACTATTTGTTAAATTTAAAATAGATACAATATTATTATGAAGTGTAGAAATATTGTTATATAAATCTGACATATCTTTATCTACATTCTCAATATATTCATAAATGTTATCTTCTGACCATTTCAATTCATTTACACCTTTTAACAGTGTATTTTTTATAGCAACAATTTTTTCTTCAAATAAATTTTTTTCTACATCTAATGTTTTAGTAATAACACTATTATATTTTTTTGTAATATTATTTAGTATATTAATAAATTTTTTAAATGTATTTGCTTTATTGTATATGTTTAAACAATCTTGATTTACAGTTAAATTATTTAGAAAAAAATTTTTAATATTATTTATGAACATAAATATATATGGATGAAAATTTACATAAAATTTATTTGATTTTATTTTAAAAATACTTTCATTTAAAAAATTATTTACAACATTAATTGTTTCTACAAACCATTCTTTACTTACTTCAGAAATATATTTACTTATTTTTTCACTAACGTTTTTATATAAATTATTTATCTCATCTGTTTTTTCATTTTGAAATTTTAAGACTTTCATTATTTTTTTTAAGGGAAAATACTGCTGTTCAATTCTTTTCAATAGAGAAGTGAATAAATTTATAACTTCACAAAATAATGGAGAATTTTTATTTATACTTAAATTTTTTAAATTATCTTCAAAATCTTTATTTTCATTTATCTTTTTTTCTATCAATGTATTCATTTTCCCATTTTCATTTATCTTTTCATTATTTTTATTTGAGTTGACATTATCTTGATTCCCATTAATATAGTCTTTTTCATTAGAATTATTAATATTATGATTTGTTGTTTGAAAGGAGTTTTCTAGAAACATTTTCTTATCATTTTCAATAATTGTTTTGTTTTTTATAAATAAGTTATCCACTAATATAAATTCTTTCTTTAAGTCTTGACATAAAAGTGATGCGTGTCTAATTAATTCTACTTCAATTGTATGTATATCTCGTAAAATTAAAAATGAGTTTAATAATTTGATGTTTTTTTTCAAATCATTGTCAAATGAATATACAAATACACATATTAATCTTTTATTTAACTCTTTTACTTTACATTCAAAAGAATTATATTTGCTTATAAAAGTATTTTCATCTTCACTTAATATTTCATGATTTATGTCTAAAAATGTTTCATTAATTATGTTAAAATCACGAGATATATTACGAATTTCTTCAGTTAATTTTTTTCCTTTTTCACCAGGAATTTCAATTTTTTCTAATTTCATATAAGTTTGATATATTTTTAAATATTCAATTAGTAATTTTAATTTATACATATATAAACTTACAGAAGGGAAGTAAATATTTTCTTCTTCTATTTCGTTTTTTATACCATTTATTTCCGTTATTTGTTTTTTATCATTGAAATTTACATTTGATTCATGTAATGACTGAAATTTTTTATTCTTTTCTTTATATAATTTAAACAAATATAAAAAGTTTAAAAGGAAATTTAATGTTCCATATAATTTACTTTTTAAAATATCTACACAATTATATATAGAATTTATAATTTCTGGTGTATTTATATTCTGGTTACATGAATTAATTAATACTTTTGATAAAAAATTGAAAACAAATTTACAATTTTTAATTAAATAATTTGATTTTTCAACAGATATTGATAAAGAATGCATAATAGGCAAAATATATTTAGTCTTTTCTTCTATATCTCCTTTATTGTTTTCTAGTTTTTGTAAAAAATGTATCACTGGTTTTAAATGGGTATATAAGTCAAAAACTTCTGATTTATGTTCAATGATTTCATTTTTTATATTTTCAATTATATTTTTGTAGCTAGAATTTTTTTTTTTTTCTAAAATTATATTTATTATTTCTTTAAAACTTTCTTTGTCTATTTCATTATATAAATAGATAATGTTTTCATTTTTATTTTTTAGGCAATTTAAAAATTCAAAACAGTTTGTATAATTTTTTTTTTTATAATTCATGAAATTTCGTAGAATTATATGGTAACACTTAATAAAATGTATTAAATATTCTTCTATATTATTTACATTTTCTTCTTTAACTTCAAAAGTTAAATAAGGTAATGTTAATTTTTCTTCTTTTTCTCCATAAATAATTCTTAAATTAAGTAAAAAATTATTAAATTTTTTTTTCATATCTTTTAAAAGGGAGGAAGAATTTATATCTTCATTTTTGTTCATAAAATTAAAAAAGAAAATTTCTAAAAAGCTTCTTATAACACTTTCAGCATCATTATTCATTTCCAAAAATAATGTATTACTTTCAGATGTTTTATAAATTATCAAAAATTTCTCATTTTTTCTTTTTTTATAGAGATCTAAAATAGAATCATATATCTTTATTGAATCCCTCTCATGAAAAATAAATAAACATTCTTCATAATTTTCGTTAAAATCATTCAATAATTTAATTGTACTTTCATCATTCCTTATATTATTTATTATTTCTTCCTTAAGACAACCATGAATATTAAAAAATTCTAATGCGATTACTAAAATTTCTTCAATTTTTTCGTTATAATCACTGTGAGAGTTATTTAAATCATTTGTTTTATTCATTATATAAAATGCTCATAAAATATACATATAAAATAAAGATAAAATAGAAAAAAAAAAAAAATAAATAAAAAAAAATCAAATATAAATTAGAACTATTTAAAGTTATTTTTTATAAAACTTAAATTTTCTTTTATAATTTTGAATACATATACATATCTATATTTTTATAGTATGTTTTTTTTTTTTTTTTTTTTTTTTTTGAAAGGCAAATCACTTCATTAGAATTTGTTAATGTCTTTTTTTTTTCTCTTAATATTTATTGAATCTTCTATAATATATCATTTATATAATTTTTTTTTTTTACATATTCATAACTAGAAAACATTTGTAAGATAAGATCCAATAAAATAAAAATGTGTCTATTTTTAAAAATATGTATTTACAAATTCTTCATTAATTATTTCCATTAGTAATTCACTTATACTTTTAGTGTATATTTTTTTTCTTTTGTGCATTTTCATATTATTATTTTTTATTCTTTTATTACATTGCTATTATATATTTTCTTCTGTTTATTTTGGTGAGCACATTTTCGCTAATAACGATATCGCTTCTATTTTTCCCATGTTTTTCTAAATACTTTTTATTTTTATGAATCATTTTATCTACATAAATAAAGGAGATAAAAATATTGATTATTTTATAAAAATTTTTTTAAAAGTATTATATAGACATAAAAATACAAAAAATTAAAAGTATTTATAAGAGTTAAATAAATATTTTAGCAAAAAAAAAAAAAAAAGAATGTTTATATTAAGAGCATATACATATATTTATGTACAAAAAAAAAAAATAAATAATAAATTCTCTTAAAAAGAAAAAAAAGAGATAGAATTAATGGTATAAAAGTTTAATAAAAATCAGTATTGATGTAAAAAAAAAGAGGAAAATTACAAAAAAATTATATCATTAGTTCATGATATAAATGATTTAATTAACGCTTTTATTTACTATTTGACAATTAAAATTAAATACAAAATTACAATAAGTGTATACATGTAGAACGTAAAATGTTGCACAAAAAATGTTTCAAAAATAAAATAAATAAAGTGAAGAATATACTACCTCATCATAATGAAAAGAAACATATAAATTCCTTTCTTCCATTTAATTAGTTTATGCCTCATAAGTTTTCTTAATTACATTAAGATTTTTCTTTTTTTCTAAAAAAAACATATGATATTATATATTGTTCTCCATCTTTTATTTTTATTAAATATGGTGTTAAAATGAATATACACTTCTATAATTAAATATTCCTACTATATTTATATGGCAAAAATTTCATCATAACATTTCATATGAAATATTTAAATGCTTTCAGTATATATTTCTTTAAGCATTTTAGTATTATTGTTATTTTGTTATTTTATTAGTTATGATTATATATAATCTCTTTTTAAATTTGGTTTTAATACTTTCTTCCATAAAAATTAATCTTTCATTTTTCTACTTAAAAAAAAAAAAAAAATTCATATTTCTTTGAACTGTTATATTTACAAAGATAATAAGAATATAGGAATTAAAAATTTTTGAAATTTTCTTAAAAATGTTGTGTATTAGGCATATCCAAAAAAAAAAAAAAAAAAAAAAAAAAAAAAAAACACATAAAAATAAAATGAAAAGAAAGTAGCTATATAGTAACTATAAATCTTGATATATGAAAATTTCATATTTTTTCAGAAGAGAAAAAATTATTAAATATATAATTTGTAAATTTTATTAAAAATGAATTTAATTAAAAAATTAGAAAAAAGAAAAAGTGAAGTGAATAGCTGTTTGTGTATTGGCTTAGATCCTGATGAAGATGATATCAAAAATTTTATGAAAAATGAAAAAGAAAATGGATATAAAAATATCAAGAATAACTTGAATGAAGATATAATGAAAATTGTTAACATAGGAAAGGAAATTTTATGGGATTCAATTAATAATTTAAAAGAAAAGGATGAATTCTTTTACTTTTTTAATCATTTTTGTTTTTATATAATCAATGTTACCAAAAAATACGCTTTAGCATATAAAATGAATTTTGCTTTTTACATTCCATATGGTTCAATAGGTATAGATGTTTTAAAAAATGTTTTCGATTATTTATATTATATTAATATACCGACCATTCTTGATATGAAAATAAATGATATTGGTAACACAGTTAAAAATTATAGAAAATTCATATTTGAGTATTTGAGGAGTGACTCATGTACAATTAATATATATATGGGATCTAATATGTTAAAAGATGTATGTTTCGATGAAGTAAAAAAACAACATTATAGTGTTTTTGTTCTTATTAAAACAACAAACCCAGATTCCTTTATTTTTCAAAATAAGCTTTCTTTAGATAATAAGCAATCATATATGGTAATGGCAGAAGAAGCATATAAAATTTCAAGAGAATTAAAAATGGAAGAGAATAATGAATTTATTGGTTTTGTTGTTGGATCAAATAGTTTTGAAGAAATGAATGTGATCAGAAAACAATTTCCTGATTGCTATATTCTATCACCGGGAATAGGTGCGCAAAATGGTGATTTATATAAAACATTAACCAATGGTTATAATAAAAATTATGAAAAAATTTTGATAAATATTGGAAGGGCTATAACTAAAAATTCTAATCCTGAGGAAGCTTGTAAGATATACTATAATGAAATTAGTCAAATTTTAAAAGAATTAGAAAAATAAACAAAGAAGAATTAATTGAATTAAATATGTATATTTCTATATGAATGCTTACTTAAATTATTATTATATCCTTAAAATATATATATGTTAATACAACTTTTTTTACTTTTAATAATTTATATATAAATTATTCTTTTTGTTGTATTTTTTTAAATATCTATTATGAAAAAAAGGGAGAGAATCAAAAGTATATATTATTTTTATTTCATAATATACCTAATATTTTATTTTTTTACATATATAGTTCTCTTTTTAAAAAAAATTATGACTAGTTTAAATATTCTCTTTAGTGAGAATATAGAAACAAATAAAAAAAAAAAATTAAATAAAATAAATATAGGAGGTGAAAAAAAAACGTATTATTAACATATAATACAAATCATTTAATTAATTCCTTTATTATTACTTATAAAATATAATTATGCACCAAGGCATAATAAGGATACACATAGAATATAACATATACAAAAAATGTTTCAAAAAAAGGATATATATCATATATAATATTTTACTATAGTAGAAAATTAAAGTATCATAAATAAAAAGAAGTAAATACTTTTCTTATTTTTATTTAATTAGTTTAGGCCTTAAACAACTGTAAAATAGTAACAATTTTTCTTATTTTTTAAAAAAAAAAATTCTTAATAGATTTATGCGGCTTCATTTTTTCCAAAATAAACGGTTTGTCCATATTTATGTGCTAAGTATTTTGATAAGGAAAAATACATAATCTTATAAAAGCAATAACAGCAGGAAATACTACACCAAAAAAGAGAATAAATTATTCCACCTAAACAATAATATATGGGGTTTATCATATTAAATAAAAATAAAATAAAAACAGTAAAAGAAAAAAAAAAGAAATAACAAAATAATAAAAAAGGTTTAAATGTGTGTGCAAATATTAAAAAAAAAATTATGAACGTTCATAATTGTTTTTAATTTGTTATAAGGCATATATATTAGTTCTTTTTTTTTTTTTTTTTTTTATTCTTCTGATATTTGTGTAGCTTCTGTGAAATCAAAATAAAAGAAAAAAAAAAATTTTTAATAAATAAAAAATTAACAAAAAAAAATAATTTTGCTTTTTAATTAATAAAATGTATACAAAATTTATAACTAATCATTTTATTACAAATTTAAGAAAAAAAAAAATTTAACAATAAACTATATATAAAATCAAAACTATTACTTTCTTTAATTTTTTGTCTAAGTTTATATCTTTCCATAAAATATGTCATATCATTTTCTAATTTTTTTTCACTTTCACCTTGGATATAAAAAAAAAAAAAAAAAAAAAAAATACATTAAAGTATTGCATGTATTAAGTGTAAATTTACATAAAAGAAGCATATAAGTAATATTAAAATTAAAAATATATTAAATATAAGATATAAAAATTAAAAGGTTTTACAATATTGCATTACTTATAAAAATATAAATAAAATACTGCATGCTTAAGAAATAAAAAATTTATAAAAAAGAAAAAAAATTAAAAATATATATCTATACCAATATTATAAATTTGATAAAAATTAGTTGAACAAAAAACTACTTCCAGTAAACCTCCAATGAAAAACATCCCTAAGTATAAATATGGGAGACGCTTATAAACGTTAATTTTTTTTAAACTTCTTTGACCCTTTAAGAATAAAAAAAGTACAATATTATATATATGTACAAAATATAAATATACTAATAATTACTATTATATATACATATTTTTTTATTCTTAAGCGTATTATTTTATATTACCTCCATATTTTAAAGAAAAGTAAAAGTGCAATGGAAACTTATTTGCTTGAATTTATTGAAGCTTTTACACATTTAATACTTTATATAACAAATGTTTATTCTTATGGTTTAAGAAAAAAAAATTAAATATGACCTACAATAAATAAAAAATAATTTAAAACTTCTTCTAATGAATTTTTGTAATATTTTTTTTCCTTTTTGCAGAATATTTTGAAAAAAGAAGAAAGCTTAATACTTTAATATGGTAAAAATAATTAAAAATAAAAAATATAATTTGTATAAATTTTTCTCAAATACACTGGAGAATGTTTTGTTTATTGAATTTTATGAAATATAACGAAATATATGATTTATTTTTTTTTTTTTTTTTTTTTGTTAAAAAAGAATTTCATCTAAAATTTAAAATCTTACTTTTAATTTTTCATATTTTAGTCTTTAAAAATAAAATATCCATTATTAAAAAAAAAAAAAAAAAAAAAAAAAAAAAAAAAAAAAAAAAAAAAAAAAAATTTTAAATATATATACTATATAAATTTCAACTGAAATACACATTTTTTATTATTTAAATATAAATATATTATTAATTAAAAAAAAAAAAAAAAAAATACAAAGATGAGTATCATTTTTATTTTTAATTTTAAACAGGCATTGTACAAATATACAAGTAGAAAAATATATACAACAGGTTAAATTATTAAACAAAACATAAAATATTTAAAAAAGAACAAAAAAGTTCTAAGAAAAAAGTAAAACAAATATAAATTTGTAAATGTTTTTTTATTTATTCATTTTAAGGCATTATATCCAATAAAAAGAATTTTGTTAAATAAAAGTTTATATAAATATAGAATCACTTTAAAAGATTTGAAAAATGAGGTATTGAATATATTTACCATTGAGTTTGAACAATTTTACAAAACTTATGCACAATTTAGTTATTCTTCTTTTGAACAGTTTGTTTGGGATTTTTTTACTTACATTGAAATGCAAATATACGAATATTATGATACAGGTTAAAAAATAATATATTATATTTTCTTATTTTATATGTTTTGGTTTTCTTGGTGTTTTTAAAAATTTTTTATGTCGATTATTTAAATACATTAAAATATAGTCAAATATTTAAAAATATATTTATATTTATAGTAGAAAGAAAAAAAAAGAAAAATGCAATAACATATAATGAAAGAAAAAAAAAAAAAAAAACACTTCACAAAAAATAACAAAAAAAAAGATAATGTTATTTATAATTTTAAATATACATGTACATATACAAAATGATAAAAATATTAATAAAATTACTTAAGTAAAAATATATCAAATAAGTGTATAAATATATATGTTATTTTTTGTATATTAGAAAAAACATTTGAAATATCTTTTGATGTCTTGAAAGATGAAAACGATTTCTCATTAAATGAGAGTTTAAGAGATGATTGGGAATTAATATCATATGATAGTACAAAATATTTATATACATTAAAGAATATTAATGCATATATGTTTTTTTTTTTTTTTATTATTGTTATGTTTATTTATATGAAATATAATGAATGTATTTATGTTCTAATTAGATCTAGAGGTGTTTGATAAAAAAATTTTAAAGAGTATGAACATTTCTGATGGAAATGTATCCAATCCTATATGTCAAGTAATAAAACAAATATATATATATATATATATATATAAATATGTATTTATATATTTCTGTTTTCCTATATTTTTCTTATAAAATTTTTGTACTATTTAAGATATATGTAGAAAGTAGGAAGAGTGTAAATTAGTATATATAGGAATTTTTATCATTTTTATGAATATTTAAAAAGTTCTAAAGAAATCCATTTAAAGTATTGATATAGAATGTAAATAGGAATTGAGCCAACATTTACAATAAAATAATATATAGCATAAGGATGCATTTTAAAAAAAAAAAACATAGATGAAAATATAAATGCAGAAATAGATAAACTTATTAAACATATTCCATAAAATGTGTATATTGATTTATCTATATGTTTTTCACTTTCTTGTGATAGTATAATTCTTCTCTCCAACAAAATTTTGAAATTCCTTTTTTTATCTTGATTATTTTTTATCACCATTATTGTTTTGAAAAATTAACATATATTTTAAATTTAATATTAATACTGTTTTTTTTTTTTTTTGAAAGATATTATTTAAATAAATCCTTTTCAAACTTCATATATATATTTTCGCGCTTTTCTTTTTTCTACATTTTTTTTTTTTTGAATTAGAAAAAAAAAAAAAATATTAATAATAAAATTTTAAAAATACACATAATATGAATGATTAAATTAATTATAAAATAATTAAAAATTTTCAAGGTTACTTAAATTTAAATATATATACACATATAGTTCCACATGATTATAGAATAATTTTTGAAAATATTTAAAACATTATATATTTTGTTATATCATAAAGTAATCCATATAAATATAATTAATACTTAAAATCGTTTGTATAGTAATAATTTATGTAATATTTATTTGTAGCATTTTATATTTGATAGTAAATTTTTCGCATATTTTATTTTTTATTTTATTTTTATAATTTATTATATATTCATTTTTTATTGTTTTATTCTTAACATATATATATATAGATATATTTTTTTTTTTCTTACTTCTTTAAGGTTTGTAGTAAAATTTTTATTATTAACTTTTTTGTTTTTTAATAATTTATTTTGATTGTTGCTTTTTCTATCTAAATTAATTTCAAATCTCATTTGCTTTCTTCTTTCTTGTTCCCTCTCCCTTTGATATTCATACACAAGTTGACTATTTTCCTCTTAAAAAATATACATTTGAATTTTTAGTATATAAAAAAGTTAAATTTATAAATATATTTTTTTTTTATTAGATAAAAAAGGAAAAAATACAAAGGTAAGTACATGAATGCATTTTAAAATAGAAATGTTTAAAATTTTTTTTTTTTTTTAATTTAAAATTTTTTAGATAAAATTTTGCATAAAATAAGAATTTATATTGAAAAATATATTAATGAAAAATATGAAGTTAATATATATAATTTTCTTTTTTATCGTTTTACCAATATATTTTGTGAGAGTTGCAATATATGAATAAATTTTATTTTCCAGTATTTGTAGTTTTTTCATTATTTCATCAGTATTTATATCATAACAAAATTGTGTGCAAATATAATCAATTTTATTATTTATATTGTTAAATGATATTTGATCTTGATTATTTTTAATGAGATTTTCATATTGAAATATTTTATCATTATGATCTTTAATGAAATCCTTAACATCTTTAATTTTTTTATCAATTTCATTATTTTTAATTTCAAAAGCTTTTTTTTTTTCTTCATATTTTTTTTCATGTTCTTCTAATTCATACTCGGCATTCTGTGCATCATCTATTAGTTGCAAATGTTTCTCTTCTAATAAATTAAAGTTGTCTATTAATAATTGAGAATTTTTTATATATTTTTCCATTTTTTTTGAAAAGTTATCTTCTTTGTTTTCATTTTGATTATCACTGAACAAATTTTCATCCAATTTATCACTATTAGCTAATTTATTCAGAAAAAATTTATACTTATCTAGTTCTTTTATTTTTTCTTCTTTTTTTTCGTATTCAACATCTAATTTACTAATTTCTATATTAAGTGATTGTACCTGATTTTTTTTTTTTTTTTTTTTTGAACTAACTTCTTCAAATCTCTATTTCAAATAATGTAATTTAAATTCAAAAAAAAAAAAAAAAAAAAAAAAAAAAAAAAAAAAGGATATCATAAACATTTTAAGTTCATAAAAGGTATTAATTTGAATATATAAGAATATGACATTTATTCTAATTATCTTATATATGCAAATAAAAATTTATATAAATGTTAAAAAAAATTGTAAGAACTTTTATGTTATGTATGCTTTATAAAATAATATGAAGAATAGTTAACATTTTCTAAATATATATATATTTATATATACATTATTACTTTAATTAGTTCTTCCGTTTTTTGAAAATTTTCCATTAAGGACTGTTGAAATTTCTCTGATTCTTTATTCATATTTTTATTCAAATTATTTATTATCTTTTCTTTTTTTCTTGTATATTTATAAATATCATCTATTTTTTCCTTTTTTTTGTACATTAGCGTTTTTGCAATAAAAATCTCTTTTTCTAAATTAATGAAATCTCTTATGTTGCTTTTATTTTTCTTTAACAATTTGTTATTCGCTAAAGCACTTTTTTTTTTATTTTCTTTTTTATCACGATTATTATTTTTATTTTCATATAATTTTGTCTTATTGTTCCATTTCTGTTCCTTTAATTTTTCGCTACCTTTTTTTTTTTTTTCCTTTTTTTTTTCTTCTAACTTTTGTTTAATTATTTCAATTTCTTTATCTTTGTGAAAATTTATTACCTCTTTGATATCATCACTTAAAAAATATTTTTATTTGAAGAAAAGGTAAAAATAAATATATATATAATATACATTTAATTATAGTAATGAATAAAAAGAAAATTTATTAAACTTTTTAATAAAACAGATATATATTATTATTAATGGAACATTTATATATATATACATATATTTTTTTAATTTTAATAATACTTTTTATCAGAATTGTTCTCTGAACTTATATCTGATGGAATAATTAAACTTGTATAATTATAAGAAAATTCTTCTGTTTTTTTTTCAAAATTTTTTATATCCTTATCTACGATATTAAAATATAATAATAATGAAAAATAATTGTATTCATATATATATTTTTTCACTTTTCTATTTTTTTTAAAAATTTATAACAGTTTTCTCTTGTAATTAATTTTTCTTTTTCAATTATCTTGTAAAAAAAAAAAAAAAAAAAAAAAAAAAAA